AAAGCAACAGCAACAGAAATACCACTAACCATTCCAAGTATAACTCACAACAGTTCATTCTTTTGCTGCTTTTGCAGTCAATTCTTCAATGAAGAGTTCTTTTTTAATGCTGTAATAAAGAGTTTGACAAGCTATATTTCTTGCATGTCACTAATCAGAGTCAAGAAGCAGTGGCAAAACGAAAGTTGGAATCAATGGTAAGTTCGTCAACCACATCTTTTTTCTTGGATGCACATCACTTTTTTATTAGGATATTTGTTATTTTAGGGCGTGTTATATCTTATCTCATTCGGCTACTAAATAAATGTTGCCTCATTTGGTCAATAGCTTCCTTTAATAATTGTAAGATATTTAAATCTTTCAGGGTTTGGACGAATTGGGCGGTTAGTTCTTCGCATAGCAACTTTCAGGGATGATATAGATGTGGTAGCCGTCAATGATCCTTTTATCGATGCTAAGTACATGGTGAGTATTGCTACGTGTAACTGATTGGTTATATATCTTCTTTTTCTTCTTGCATTTCAAGAAGCCAGTTGCCCCTAGAATGTTTTGGAGAATGGCAATAATATGTGCTCATAAATCTTTCAGGCTTACATGTTTAAGTATGACTCCACTCACGGACCGTACAAGGGAACAATCAATGTTGTAGATGAATCCACTTTGGAAATCAATGGGAAGCAAATTAAAATTAGCAGCAAAAGGTATCACCAGAATTTCGCGTCAGAAGTTTGATAACTGTTCTTTATCAGCACACTGGTTCACGCTAGGTGTATAATTCAGCCTTTTTTCTGCCTGTGCTAATTCAAAATCCCTTGTACAGAGACCCAGCAGAGATTCCTTGGGGTGATTATGGGGCTGACTACGTAGTTGAATCTTCTGGCGCTTTTACTACTATTGACAAGGCCTCAGCACATAAAAAGGTTTGTTAAAGAGTTGTTTTGTCTTCTCTAATCTTATCTGGACAACTCCCAAATTTAACTCCATTGACCTTGTTCTCCAGGGTGGAGCAAAGAAGGTTGTAATATCTGCTCCATCCGCGGATGCACCTATGTTTGTTGTTGGAGTAAATGAGAAAACCTACAAGCCAAGCATGGACATTGTTTCCAATGCTAGCTGTACCACCAATTGCCTTGCTCCTTTGGCCAAGGTTGGACTGCATTCTCTAATTTCAAGGACTACAGTTAATTTTGCTCGTTAAATAGACAAAGGAATCTTTTAAGAATTTTTTTTTCTAGGTGCCTGCCCTTCTTCAAGAGATTCTGTTAAGATTATTTTTGTGTTTTAGGTTCCTTCTCTTCTTCGAAGACTGGCTCCTCTAACATGATTTGATCTTTTCTCTTTTTAAAGCTAGTGTAGGCAGATTACTATATTCGTTAAGCCTTTTTTCCCAATTATTTTTCTTCACAGGTGGTTCACGAGGAGTTTGGTATCTTAGAGGGTTTAATGACTACAGTCCATGCAACGACAGGTATGCGTTGTGTGCACACACCTATACACAGTAAATTTGCAAAATAGTTTATATTTTCTCATTAGGTTGTCATCGTTCTTATGCTTATCCTGTAAATTTTTCTCATTGACAAACGTTCTCCAGCCACACAAAAGACAGTTGATGGTCCATCAATGAAGGACTGGAGGGGTGGCCGTGGGGCTGGCCAGAACATCATCCCAAGTTCTACTGGCGCAGCAAAGGTATGCGACTGTCTCCATTTGGAAAATTTATTAATCTGCAAATTTAATTAATATCCGATGATATTGTTTTGGATTGAGCTCATAGGCTGTTGGAAAAGTACTTCCAGAACTCAATGGAAAGCTAACTGGAATGGCTTTCCGTGTCCCAACCCCCAATGTCTCTGTTGTAGACCTAACTTGTCGACTTGAGAAGAGTGCTTCTTATGAAGATGTTAAAGCAGCCATTAAGTATGCCATCTCTCTGCTTTTGCTTTTATCTGGCATTCTAACTCTTAACACGAGTGTTCTAATGGAATTTCAGTTTCTTCATAAACTGATGCCAAATTGTCTGGTTCAAAATCAGGTATGCATCAGAAGGTCCATTGAAAGGCATCCTCGGATATACTGATGAAGATGTTGTCTCCAATGATTTTGTTGGTGACTCAAGGTACATATTCCTGCTTATCTCTCCCCATTCAACAAAAAAGAGCTTATGTAATTTGATGACTTTGACATTGCTTGCATGTAAAACTCTTCTTGCTTCCTTGATGCAGGTCGAGCATATTTGACGCGAAGGCTGGGATCGGTCTTAGTGCTTCCTTCATGAAGCTTGTTTCTTGGTATGATAACGAGTGGGGTTACAGGTACAGTCTCTCCCAAAAATCTCTGCTGTAGTTCAATAAATACTTGATTTGACTTGTTTGGCCTTTTTTTTTTTTTAATTTGCAGTAACCGAGTGTTGGACCTGATTGAGCACATGGCTTTGGTGGCTGCCGCCAAGTAGAGAAATTTCTGCTGCTATTCCTGCAGTATTTTTTTGCAAGCATTGAGTTTGGATGAGAGAGTAGTTACAACTTACAAACATGTTAGCGCTTCTTGTTTCTTGGTTGAATTTGCTGTGGTCACATTTAGTATTTGTAGCAACAATGTCAGAATAATGTATCATGACTTGTAAGAACTGGTTCAGAAATACTTGTGCCTGTTTGGACTGCAAACCACATGGCTAATACGTTGTGTCGTGTGGTGCTTGGGTATTTATTCTACTTGTTGGTTTTACCATATGCTGCAGCATGGTTTTCCATCTGTGTTAACCTTCAAATAGTTGGATTGGTTTTCTAAATTTTACCCATTAATTCACGAAGTTTACGTTTGAATAGTTTTCGCTCCATGATTTGAAGGATATCAGGTCACTCCCGGACGCAGTTGAGCACTATACAACTGGCCCAAAACATTTAAAATTATATTGACAAGCAGTCGTAATTCAGTAAGGCTTCATCGATCAATTCCGGTGATTTCTGATCCCCCCCCAACCCCCAAAAATCTTGTACGTATTAACGCTATCATTTACATGCTTGTAGATTCTGCCAATGATCATAAATGCAATCAAGCTCTAGACCACATTAAGTAAATGGTACACACAGATTTTCTTTATTTGATACGAAAAGATCAGCTTTGAACTGGTACGGGTGCAGTGGGATTGGGCCGGTCCAGTCCCCATACCACTTCATTTTTTTTGGTGTATATGTAAAAAATTTTCATGTGTAAATTTTTTTTTAGTTCGGTTTGTAGTCCGACCCTAAATCCATTCCTGACTTCGAATGAATCTGCCTTCGTTAATTGAGGGCATGAAATGAGTATAAAATAACCGTGGGACAATGCTTTGATGGGAAAACTTCAGTCATGCTGGAGTGACCACAGCTGTGGACTTGTTTGCCTGGACTAAAACTTCACTAATTTATGGTCCAGTGACATCAAATGCTTTTGCATTAAGCCTTGCTTTTTACCTTAGAGCATCTCCGAAAGATTTTATTTTTTTAAAGAACATATTTTTTGTCATGTTTTTTCTATATTTTTCCATGTCACGTTCTTCCTCAACTTCTTCTTCTTTTCTTCTTCGTTTTCACAAATTTCTGATTCTAATATAATTTTGAGAAAATTTCCAACTCTGTCGGCAAGTTCTCCACCTCCAAGAAGACACCCTTTTATTGCTCCTAAAACGAGAGATCCGCTGTGATAGTCGAATTGAAAATTAACAAGTAGTGAAAGAAGAAGAGGAAAAGGAAAATGATTGATTGATTTGGGTTCAATTAGGTCTTATCCTCATGAAAAGCGAGGCGAAAGGGGAGGCATGATGACAATCTTCATGGGTGAGATGTTGGTGCATAGGCAGTTAGCTTGGGATGAGTTGAGTTAGTGTAACAAATGAATTTTAAAATTCATGGAACGAAGAAAGGGTTTCGTGATGTACAATTGTAGTTGAGAATTTGAAAAATTTTAAAGGGATTTTTGTCATTTAAAAAAAAAAAAAAACCGATCATTGCACCTTTCAATTTTTTTTTTTTGCCAATTTTTAAAATGGTGTGTCAAAATTAAACATTTTCACATTTTCCCTCTATTTTTAAAAGCTTATATATATTTTATATTGAAAAAGAAACTCGTTAGATAAAAAGAGCATATTCAGTTATCAAATAACTAAAAGAAAAAACTAATAAAATTCCGTATAATTTATTTGGGAAAAGAAAAATGATATAAGTACATGAGCCCTGTACGTTACAAGAGCCAACCGCAGCCCTGTACGTATAGCTTTGTTCTACCTACGAAAAGGAAAACCTAGATCCCAACTTCCCAACCTAATTCAATTGAGAAATACTATTCATCCCCACTGGGGATGCATCCCCAATCTATGTGGCGTTAAATGATATGTGAAATTAAATAAGTCATTTAATTTCACATATCATTTAACTAATCATTTAAATCTACATAGACTGGGGATGCATCCCCACTGAGTATGAATAGCATTTTTCAATTCAATTTGTGAATATGGGTCCCTAAACAACTGAAAAGCATTATGTTAATGTCAAAATCGCAAGTGACTTTTGATTGTAATAAAAAATTTATATATTTAGGGCGTGTTTGATAGAGATTAAACGGATTAAAATTGAAAAATTAGTCGTTATTGTTGACTTTTATTAGACGAGTGAGACCCAATAATGACTACATTTTTAATTTTAATTGGATTTTAACCACTCCCAAACATGCTCTTAAATAAATTTGGGAAAAACCTCACTTTAAGCCTCCATAATTTTCCCAACTACTCGAGGGCATCATAGTAATTGTAACTAAATTAGGGTTTTCCTGTGAACCCTCGTCCCCTCCTTTCACTATATATTTGTTGCTGCATCCTTTCGCTGCACAGAGAATCGTCTGAATAATATAAGGAGTTTTCTAGGGTTTATTTTGATGCATCTTTAACCTTCTGATTTCTGAGATCTCGTCCTAATTTGCTTCGAATTACTGATATTTTTCAGTTTCCATTTCATTTGATTCTTAATTTGTTTTTTATAAACAAAAAGGGGCTGTGATTTATGAAAATTATACCATCAAACTAGCTTCTGAGCTTGTTGATGTAAATCTAAATCATATACGAGCCTTTACTTTTCTCAAAAGCATCGATTTTACTGCTTTTTATTTGATAAATTATTCTGGNGAAATGGGACGGCAACAAATTAGAGTCACTGATGCACTTAATTATCGATGGTGCATACAGCGCTTTACGTTGCCAATAAGAATTAATTAGGCGTTGAGATTCTGGCACTGCTTTCTTTCATCTGGGGATTGTGCATTCAGATGCGCCTACATTTTACAAAAAATTCTATTAAAAATCAGCTTTTTCCTTTTTTCAAGTATTATTTCTTGTTGTTTCAACTTTGATTTTCATCGTTTTGATATGTCTGAAGAACTTCTAAATAAAACGGTAACGATACAGAATGAACAAAAAAAATTGATGAGATTCCTTTTTACATTGAAAGAGGAAATTACAATTCACCAGAAACAATAGATGTTACAAACCAGATCAGGAGGGAAAAATGAGTGGCTGTGGAGTGGAGGTGGGTTATATTGCCGCCTAATGGCCAAGATGGAAAATATAGAAGCCAATCTTTTTTTTACAGTGAAAAAGGAAATTGCAATTCACCAGAAAACAACAGTTGTAGCTCAATTACAACACGGCATGAATTATTGATAATTTATTGATTAATAAGGAAAATAATCCTCAGAAATGGCTCTCTGAACTGGGATTAGAAAAACAATAATATTAGGCACCGTAATACTGGTGAATATTGATTGTACATAGGCAATGAATTTGGCTGCTCTCAGAGAATGTGATGGAACTTGCAGAGGGAGTATAGCTAGAGTTTCTTTGGAAGGCCAATTGGCCGAAGGCAGCTTTCAGTGCACATCTCGGTAAATTGGACAGAACTGGTGATTTGATAATGCCATTGAAACTTTTTTTAATAGCAGAAGTACTTACCAGTTCTCTAAAGGGAGGCTCACTACTCTGACTAGTCGTGTTCTTGGAATTTATCTCTTAAGAGAGGTTCACTACATAGATGTTATGCTATAGAAAATTTATTTTACTGTATTCAAAATGTCTAGTGTTAATCAAGGTTTTCTGAGCATACTTAGGATGGAAATTAAGGGTGATCAAGGAAGGAAAGGGACCCTATAGAGTCCATTTACTTGAATTGCGATGATTCTTTCTAATGACGGTATGCCCTAACATTCATGTTAAAGCATAACATCAAAACTTACAAGCCGTAGTTTAATTCAGACGTCTAATAGATACATCATTACACGGACCTCGACCCATCGATTATCC